AAAACATAGGCCTACCATTAAAAGCCGTGCTTGCACAGGTTCTGCACGATCCTCTTCAATAATATCCTCTGCTTCTCAATCGGGCTCAAACTGATAAGCGATATTAACGACGCTGTTGTTTACAATACAACTGGAGCACATGCCGCTGAGGAGAGGGGCGGGACGTTTAGACGCGATAGAGGCGGTTTAGTCAATCACAACACACTGGGATAGCTATCCAATCAGAGCCCATCGCCTATTTCTGAGGGTGGGGCTTCATAAAAGCAGGAAATGATCAGCGCGTTTCGTAGAGAAGGGACAGAGCGGTGTGGAATAAAGGTAAATTATGTGAAAAATAATGCTTTTTTTTTTTTAAACGAAACAATAACACATGTTAGACTGCACCCCATAAACACAATCAAGCTTAGAAAAAAACCAGTGAACCACCCCTTTAAATAATATTTTTTTACTTAATTAAACCAATTTATATAGGTTTTACAGTGTACAAGCTGCCATAAACATGAGGAAATTTCAAATTTTAATTTGTTCTTTTTATGAAATATTAAATATTGGCCAATATTGAAACCATGAGTACAGAAATCTCTTGATTTTGAAATGTCTTTCTCTTTTTCATACAGCAAATTACTTGTGTTACTGACAGAGCCAGGTGTTTTGACCTGTCAGGTAAGTTCAGTAATTCACTATTTATTATTTTTGCTATCCCTCTTGAAAAGTGTTATTGGTTTTTCAAAGCTAAACCACCAGAAAATCCCTCAGTGCTATCATTTCACCTGAGACGCTCATCCCTTCATCCATCCATGTATTCCAGCTTTATTCATCTTTCCATCAGCACGTATTTTGCATCACTAGTCTGACCTGCTGTAAAAGCTCTACCGTGCAATCCTAAAACAAACAGAAAATCTTTAAAATTCATAGACACAACTCTGGGAGGAGATACACACCAACTGTGACAACATAATGGAAGGTTCAAACATGCATTTTAGCAATCAGATGTTTTGTTTATCTTTCCTTCAGTTGTAAAACTCAGGTAATTTGCCCTTTTGTGCTGCACTAAAATGTGGAATCACATATAAGTGTATTTGTTTAAGAATCTATAGGGCCAAAAGAACATGTAGCCATAACTGGTTTCATTTGTAAACAAAACACTAGAAATATAAAACACTACCCTAAAAACCTTTCATTTTATATGAAACAAGATATGGGAGAAATAAGCATTCACACACAGTGACTTTGTCTCAACCAATAGGTTAAGTCTAAGGTGGGACTATCTTAAAGTCCCAGAATAATAGTGCTGTCCCAAACTCGCACCATTGGTTGAGAGAATGTTATTAAAGGTTTTAGAGAATGTTTAACAATAAATACTTGGATTAATTATTGATTGAGTTGAAATTAAGCTTCCTCTGAGAAAAAAAGTATCCATTACAATATACAAAGTAACTGGTTTAGCAACAAGATAAACACTGCAACAATATTACATACTAATATTCATAATGAAGTCCTATAAGGTAATCTTGACAGATAAGTGAAATGCAAGATGGAGGCAGTTGCGCTTGAATAAAAAACGGGAGAGTGAATCCTATTTTACAAGGTGGTGATTTCGTTTGAATTTGTATGATGTGATTTGTATGGAAACGTATGAAAAAGAATGTAGGGGGAAAAACTAAGCAAGAAGGTCCATCAAAAATGTCAAAATGAGAGTATGAAAACATGCAAATGAGATTGTACGAATTCATACAAATTAGTCACAATTCACCAAAATGTAGTTACAAACTTCCATAAAAGCGTATTGACCAGTGTATTGACCAGTTTCAGTTACTTAAATATAGCTTTGTCATGGACGACCGCAAATATTAGAAAATATCTTTCTGCTGAATGTTGTGATTGACCAATCAGAATCAGTATTTCAGAGAGTCCTGTTATAAGTTATTTAGACTATTGTTCTACTGAAGATCATAACAGATTTGCTCTGCTTCTGATTTTTATATTTACAGTGTGTATTTTAAACAGTTTTGTATGTGTATTTTAAGTTGCTTAGCAGTAGCAGTCCTGTTATCCCTGAAGTGTGTTTTAAGCAGCTGTACTTTTTAGAGCTACCACACTGCGGTAAGATCAGAACTTTGACGAGCCTGTTAATTGAAATGTACATGCCCATGCTGAAGGGCATTAGTTTGGGATTAAACTGCTGTCCCTTTGATGACTGAAACATGCAGTTATTGATACCAGCAGAAGTGTGCTTGAAGTGCGGGTCAGCATGTCCTGGCTTCCTGCGCCCTGTCACACACTGATGCCATCTAACTCCAAGTCTCAGTGTCATTATCTGCACATGGCAGAGGGGATTAGAAAAATTGGATTTCTGATCCCCCCTTCCTATGATACAGTTAAGTGATTATTGTTAAAAAAAATTACAAATGATTATGCTAATGATGAATAAATTATTATCTCCCCAACACGCAGCTCTGAGCAATCTGGCTTCTCCCCGACCAGGAAGATAAGAGTTTATGAGGGGAAGGGGTCCTTTGCAACGCGTGTCTAATATAGACGGACTGCTGTGGCCATCAAAGTATTTCTCAGGGCTTTGTTTAAAAGTCATCTGTTCCTGCATAATCAGAAGCTCTTTGATTGTCTCCTTCACTGAAGGGAGGAGATCAGACGTGATCGTGTTATGTGTGTACTAATATGCCTCACTATGGAGGGGCAGAGATTGTGAATAGTGTAGGTCTAGGTTTGGTGTTAGTTTATCCAGTGCTGTATGAAAATTTGTCATGGCAAATGTGTTTGGTAGAGAGGGTCACCAAAATTGTAAATAGTGGTATCTCCATTTTGATTGTTTTTCCAGGTGAGCGGTTAGATTATTGCTCCTGCGAATCTCTTGAAGAAATCCTGAAATCAGTGCAATTTGATTTTATCAGTCTGCAGGGGGCCGAGCTTGAGCAAAATGTAAGTATATGAACATTTGCATTTAAGGCTGTTTTCACACTTGGTTCAATTGCTGGGTCACATTTTCAAATTGTACTTATTTTTGGTAAAGTTTTACGAACCGCATTACAATTG